TTTACTTGTGTGGGAATTATGGTTATGTATGAATTTGTGTTAATTCCTTTTGGATTTCATCTATCTACTTTGCACAAAGTTGCTCATGTATTTTTCGTAGTATAATTTGTTTCATTTGATGTTATCTCTTTTTATTTTCTTCTGTCCTCCTTTGTTTTGGTTGTCTTTGAACGGTGCATTTTACTGAAAAAAATGTAAAAATTCTTTAATTTTTGGGCCCTAAACATCTCCTTTCACCATATTTCTCCAATCGATGTGGAAGCAGAGACGCATCTGATGAATCTTGGATGATAGCTAAGCGATTTTGGGGAGGACTATTACTTAAGAGGGCTAACTGAGGGACGATCCCAACCTCCTTTGCTCTCCGGAGGCCCACCCTCTAGCCATCGCCAAACTTAAGTCTTATTCATTGGCTGACGATCTGGTTCATAGGCAGGTAATTTTCCTTGGTGTTTTCCTTCTGTCTGGAGATATTAATTTCTATCTTAGAGGGGAAAGCTATGATTTCTTTGTGTGGAATAAATTAATGTGTTTTGCCTCTACTACTTAAACTTAAAAATTTTAGATATTTCTATGATGCATATGCCAAGGTTGAGATGAGATGTTTCTGTCTCTTAAAAACAACATATGCAGGTTAGCATTAACATACGTAAGTTCCAGGTCTCATTTGTAAACTTTCATTTAAATTCTGAGGTGTATACACTGTATTCATGGCTAGTCAGTGTAGGTCATCAATGGGTATTTTTGTTGAGATAAATTAGAGTTATGTAATTGTACCAAACCCGAAGTCCTTCTCCAGTCTGCGCTTGCACTTCGGAATGACCTGCAAAGCCTCGAGGTGGAACTCGGGGTAGACACTCCGATGCTTAAGTCAGCAATAATCGGAGCTACCTTTAGGGCGGAGATAAGAAAAGCTTAAGGTTGGTTTTCAATTACCTTTTTGACGTGGCCCGGGGGGTATTTATAAGATCCAATGAGGAACCCACGTGGCATGCCAAGCAAGATAATCGGAGCCTGACGTGTCTATCCAAACGATTATTCCGAGACCGGGAATTTGAGATGTATTCAGGTGCACAAGCGTCCACTATATCTACTGTGCCACTCATCATGAGGAATCAGGTGCAGGCATGCTTATTGTTGTTATCATACAGCTATTTGAGCGGGAAGCTTTGGATTCATTCCTCACTTCGGTCATAAAGGGATTACTGTAGCAGTCCGAGTCTTGGCACCTCGTACCTGTCCTTACAAGTTATATTTGTTGTTCTTTCTACAAACTCATCAACGGATATTTTTCTTACAAATGGTATATCCTGCAAGCATCCTAAAATTGAGAGTCTGTGGAGCTAAGAGAGAGATGACTGAAGATTACATCCTCAGGAAAGGTTTTTGTTGTCATGGCTAAAGTAATTGCTTGTTTTGATGGCTCTGACATTCAGGTACTTATTTTGCAGTGAAAGGCTAATAGTTATTGTTGAAACTTGAAAAATGTCTTTATCTGTTATTGTCATTGATATTGGGTTCTCTTGTGAATTATTTCTTGTGTCTAATGAGAAGCTAAAATAAAGAAAGTCGTGTCTGGTGGATATCTTTCTTTTTGTGTCGCATTCCTTAAGGGAAGGCAATTCATTTATCAAAAATGTAAACTGTTCCATTAAGAAAACTGTGTAACAACCTGAATTTATTTTAAGTTTTATTTATCTAACAGTCTGTTTCAATAAGGTCAAGCACTTGAATTTGTTTAGCAACCTCAATTTTCAGTAAGTTCTATTTGTGGCATTTCTAATTTTTCTGCTAGCTATGTTGTATCACGTCCCAGACCCAGTTTCTTGCTTTTTCTTTCTCATTTTGCTCTATGCACTCACCAAAATTTTGTATTACTCTGGGCCTGGATTAACCAGTAGAGATTCCTTCTTGTTATGAGATTTAGTTAATTAAAGTGTAATGGAAATTGCGAAAGTAGTTAATGCAGGTCTTATTACTGAATTTCTTGAAAGCTGCTGGTGGTGGTGGTGAAAGCAGTTTCAGATCTTTAATGGTTGTTGTACAACACTGTGGCAGTGGTGTGGCTATAGTGCAGCAAGTACGTTTTCTTTTTTTCTCTCTTTTTTTGTATAAAACAATTTGGGTATCACTTAATTGTAATTGGATTAACTGACAGAGAAAAGATTCTTGTTTATAAATTAACGACGATCTGACTCAAATTTGGATTTTATGAGGGATGAAGAGAAATTCAAGAAAGAAAGAGAAGAACTATCATACGGGGTTGTCACTGCCCTTTATGTTCATTCTGACCACAACTATTGTCTGGTTTCTATGATAAACAATCAAATAGTTGGCAACTGCTCTTGAAGTCAGAGCTACAGGAATCCTTATGCTTTTGCTCCGTGTATCGCGGTAGTTTTTTTCTTTCTTTCCTCCGTATATCGCGGTGGTTAACCTTACGGATACGACAACCTTAGTTGCTTGCACCATGGCTCACTTTTGACTTCTGCTGTCAATTTCTAACAGGTTTGCAGGGATCCAAGATGGGGTCGATGCTATGAAAGCTATAGCGAGGATCATAAGATTGTTCAAGCGATGACTGATATCATTCCCGGTTTACAAGGGGATCTCCCCGCCAATTCTCAAAAGGGAATTCCCTTTGTTGCTGGAAAGTAAGAACCTTTATGATAAACGTCTAAATTTCCCTGTTAGCCGTTT